CAATAGCTTCGTGGCCGTTCCTAACAGCATCATATAATGGTGTTTCGCCATCTTTATCCATCTGGTTGACATCAGCGCCATAATCCAGTAGCAAGCGTATAACAGCTTCGTGGCCATTTTGCACAGCTTGCTGGAATAGTGTCGCTCCGTTTTGGTCCTCTCCATCTGGTTGGCAATTTCTATCAAGGAGTTGGCCTACTACGTCTTGGTGGCCATTCCGAGCAGCGTACCACAATGGCGCGCGGCGCCTAGTCAGTCGAAATAAGTCAGGTTTCTGGTTTTCTTTTCAATTGCATAGCTCTTTTCAGTACTTACTTGCTGTCCCGAATATCAGGATCGAGGTGATCATCCAATATGCTACCTACTACGCCCGCCAGACCAAAATAGGCAGCCAAGTGAAGGCCAGTCATGTCGAATACACTCCGGTAGGTACTGAGGAAACCATGTCTCTGGTTTTCTAGTGCCATTAGAAATTGGCCGCACGCCTTTGCATGATTAGGGCGACCCAGGAGTTCTCGGATGGGTTCGGACTCGGCCTGAGGATCTGCATGTTGACCCCAATATTGAGACGAATACCCATAGAGTGGGAAGTCGGTAAGTCTTTGGCGAAGATCGTCATTTTCGAAGCAATGGCCACTCTCAAAGATATCAAATGCAAGATAAGTGACACAAGTATTCGTGATCTGGGTTTCTGCGAACGGAAAGAATCGAACTCCGTGTCTGTCAAAAAATTCCTGCGTTGTATAATGAATTAACCGGATAATGTGGCTTTCTTCGTCAATGGTGACCAAACCACAGCATGCCGACACCAAGTCGTCAAGATCTGGCAAGCTGTCTTCAAAAAGCTCCGACTCGCCAATTTCCACGCCAAGCGCGTGCTGAAGCTCAACTGTTTCCAACGGTCGTTTTGCGTGCACGATCCACATAAGGGTATTCATACCAAGCTCTTTCTGGTCCGAGAGCTGTCCGCTTATACGGAGCATGGTATTTTGGTATGCTTCGTCATAGGCATCATTTCCTGTCGCCAGAGTGTTCAGAGTCTGTCGGAGGGCTCTTGGTGATTTCTTGCCCTTCAAAGAATCAAGATGGAGCTTGGCCAACAGAAACCTGTACAAGTCAGTGGAATTCTAAGAAAAGTGTCGATGTAAACCTACATTCCATCCACAGCTTTTGTGATTCCTTTCTTGATTTCGTCTTGCAACTCCTTGTCCCTAGACACAAATCTTGGCAGATTCATAAGATTGCTTTCAACGTATCTGTGGATATCCCCCTCGCTGGCACGGACTTCCGCTGAGGTGAATTCTTTGAACCTTTCCACTATATGGGGCACCGGGCGGGAAGTCGCCAGTATGTTCACCCCTGTGTTGCGCTGAAGCTCAATCAAATGCGAGATGAGTTCTCTCTGGCATCCATTGGAGCTTTCGCATTCATCCAGCGCATCTACCACGATGAGTACTCGAGAGAACGATCCGGCTACCGAAGAAAGTGTTCTGATGATCCCCTCGCGACTTGGTCGGCTGCGGTTGGACTTGCACTGATTGAACAGCGCTTGCACGTCGTCAGGCACAGTGGCTGAAGCTTGACTCAGCTGTTTGAGAAGACTCAACAGCACGTTTTCGAATTTTTGCTCCCCCTGGCTTTTGAAGTTGAAATAGAAATAACAGATTGCAACGTCGGTTTGAATGCCAAAGGTATCTTGCAAGTTCTCCACCACGATTGATGACAGAATAGTCTTTCCGGCGCCGGGAATACCATGACAGAACAGGATTTCTCCCTTTGTCGCTTTCCATTTGATGTACTCATTTGAGTCGAGAAGCCACTGACCCGTACCTTCCTGGCGCTGACTGATGAAGTCTGCCTGTTGTGCCGCCGTATCGAGCGGTGTTAGCCACTCCAGAATCTCGCGGTTCTCTTGTCGAATTTGCCGGTCTTCCAACTTGAACACGGTGTCTCTGATGTTGGAACCGGTAAAGGAGTTGAGTGCGACGATGTTCGCAGTGATTCGATGTCGCAAATCACGAATATCATCGGGCTCCCATTTCACACGCTTCCAAACTCTTTTGGTGCGTTCATGAAGACTACCGCCCTTTGAATCGAGGCTGAGATATTTGCTCAGCTCTTTGCGAGAGTCCTCTAGGACACCACGGCAGCTTTCCCGAATTTCTTTGAGATTGTTGTTTTGGTCTTCGGAAACGTCATGCGCTGCAAGAGACACATCAACGTCTCCAAGTACAATGACGAGATTTCTGATTCTACGATTGAGTCAGTATTTGGTTGCGCATGAGCCAAGGTCCTTCATCAGGCTTACTCGGCGTTTATCTGCTGAAATTGTTCAGGTGCGTCGGCAAAGTCTTTGCGAATATCGCTTGCAAGCTTAATGACTGCGAGGAAATCCCCGACACCGAAGCCAAAGCTCATCTTCGCGATGTGGCCGTCATTACTTGAAACTATGGGGGATGAAGGATGAGGAGACGAGGAATTCTCATCGCGGGGTACGGCTTCAACTCTGAGTTTCAGCCTGACAGAGTCGGAGCGAATGCATAGGTTGCACAGCCTGCGGGCACAGCCCATCAGGCATATTGAATCAAAAGCGAACCAATCAAATTTGCCCGACAGGAGCATTTATCAATGATATCGCCTTATTCGTCCTGGCACTGTCCGTTGTAGTGGCTGTGACTCTGTACATTGTTTTTTTTTTCTGGCGCACAAATGCTGCTCACTTAAAGTTGTAGTTGTAATGAATGTATCTGACCACATGCGATGATATTCACAGTCACAAGAGTTTGATCCGGAAGATGATAAAGGATCAAAGGACGGAAATGATGATAGGGCTGTTAGTATGCCGAAATGCCGACCAGACTGAACAGTTATGCCCCCACAATTAATACGTCGTATGCTCTCCAATAATTTCCGCCCAGCGGCGCAGTCTCAACTCTCAAGTATCCCAGCTCAGCACCAACATCGACGCTGCATGGTGAAAGGATTCCGAGTCCTTTCACCTTGGTCCGCTTCTTGCGACGGTGTAAGTTAACTTTGTAAGGGGGTGCACGTACGAGCTTCTGGTTGTGAAGCCTCAACATTCGATACTCCCGAGTCCCAAGAATTCTAGTCGCTGAAGATCCGTACCGCCAGTGACTCGGAAGCGGCCTTGAAAAAGCCACGATCGAAGGCTTTTAGACTTATTGCATCCACTGTGCCTACGCATCAGACATGCCGCGCAAAACAGTATTCATCACCGGCTGTGGTCCGGATGGCATCGGATATTCTCTAGCCGTGGAATTTCAACTGCGCGGCCACCGCGTCATCGCGTCCGGCCTCAACGACACCCTCCTTGCACCGTTTCGTGACCTAGGTATGGAGACCATGGCCATGGACGTGACCTCTGAGCAGTCCATCGCCGCGGCAGCATCGCACACATCGAAACTGACAGATGGCGGCATCGACATTCTCATCAACAATGCTGGCGTGATACAAATCATGCCCATGGCTGACGCCTCCATTGCCGATGCACGGCGCCTGTTTGACGTTAATGTGCTGGGCGTCATGGCCGTGACGCAGGCGTTTCTTCCACTGCTCCTAAAGTCCCCCGCCGGCATTGTGGCCAATATGGGCAGTGTGAACCAGGTGCTCTGCCCGGCCTTCTTCTCGGCCTACAACGCGTCCAAGGCCGCGGTCGAGGCGCTCAGCACGACCATGCGGCTCGAGTTGGCCCCGCTCGGTGTCCGTGTTATTTTGCTCAAGACCGGTAGTGTGCGGACGGGCCTTTTTGGTCATGCATTGGGACAGACGACACTGCCTGCCGGCAGTCTGTATGAGCCTCTGCGTGAGTGGATCGAGGGTCGCAAGATGCTAGAAGCTGGTCAGCATGTAGACAGCAATGTGTATGCTCGAGGTGTAGTGGACGACCTGCTGAGAGATAATGTGAGAAACGTCGTGTGGCGCGGTGGTTTGACGACCTTGGCTTGGGTGCTGACATGGTTCGGCTGGGCGGGCATGTTGGATTCGGCCATGATCAAAGGAAACGGTCTTGACAAGATCAAGCGGCCGTCCTGAGAACAATTACATCATCTTTGCAGTCTGTTATTCTTACCGGCACATGAGTATAGGATACCCAGCATTTTCATATTTTTTTTCCATTCGAAACTACCATAGAGTATCCCACAACTAATGTAATATAAAGTCCTGCAGGGTTCTCATTTAATCAGCAGGACTTGAATCCGCCTTTTCATTTTAGACTATGTTTGACTAGGTCATGCCATGTCACACAGCCGCATCGGATGATGGACTGCAATACGCTCAAAGAGGGAATCCGAATGATTCGTTGGAACATACCCGAGTGGCTTACCCCACATCTAACAGCTCTTCCGCGTGATTGACATTGACTGCTTGTCTCTCAAGCATTCGAGAATTCTCCCAAAATACACATATCCTTCGTCTTTGAAAATGACGGGAAGTTCGAGAGATTCGGGCGTATGCCTGAGCAGCTTCTTTTCGCAGCGCAAAGTTTCACACAACTTTCGTCACGACTGCGACAACTTTGCCAAGGCCAAGTTCCCCAAGGATGATATCCGGCCAGTTCCTACGCAAGGATACTGTTCCTATACAATGTTCATTGGCGACGACAAGGTGGCCCAGTTTCGCCCTCCAGACCACGGACTTGATATTGCGGTCACATCAACAGCTCATCGTATCTTTGGTGATATTGTCCCAGAGACTGAAATTCTTGGGGTTGTACACGATGAGAACGACGGTACCGAGTTGCATGCCTATTCCATGACAAGACTCCATGGGACATCTCTTGTTGATGCTCGGCATTCGGACAACCCAAGACCCAGAAACACGAAGGAAGCGCGGCGTCGCATTGTGAAGGACTTTGCTCGACTGCAAGCAACTAGCTGGAATAATCGAAAGCCCAGCGAACAAGTCTCACAGAAAGGCTTGGTTGGCTCTTCGCTGGTGTGGCGGACAAAACTCTTGGGATCCAACCTGCCCGAACGATTCAAGAAGTTTGCGTCGTCCAATCTTCGGAACTTAGACGAAATTGAACAATTACCATGGACATTGACACACGGAGATTTCATCCCGTCCAACATTTTGGTCAGCGCAAAGAATGGCAGCATCACAGGCTTGCTCGATTGGGCAGAGGCAGAATGGCTTCCCTTTGGAGTTGGGCTTTACGGCCTCGAAGAACTACTAGGCGCAGAAGTCAACGGGACCTTTGAGTATTTCTCCGAGGCACGAAGGCTCCGGCATTTATTCTGGAGTGAGCTGATATCACTCGTGCCGGAGCTACGCCGCGATCCGCGGCTATTGGCTGCGGTGCAGGAGGCCCAAGTTTTGGGTATCCTGCTGTGGCATGGCATTGCATTCGACGACGGGCGGTTGGACAGAGTTGTTGAAGAAGGTGTCGATGACGGTGAAATCCAACGTCTAGATGCGATGCTCCTTGGACGTTCTGGCCTGCGTTCTACCAGCACATGGCGCGAGAGGTTATTTTCAATCCGTGATTTTGTGGCTTACCATTCACTAGGTAGTGAGTGATGATGTACAAGTCTCAAGGCAAGGCTGATTGCACTTGTCTGGAAACATATCTTGCATGTTGGGGCCTGTCGGATATCGACATCCCTTTTGATGGTAGATGAACTTATTTATTGTTTGAATCTTTGCGGTCATTCGGGATTTTGTACTATATTGCTATAACTCTCATGATAAGTACCCACAACTAGCCAGATTCGTCTTCTTTGAAGTCTACCGGGGTAGACTCTCGGTATCCTCCAGGTTGTACTGGTTGCCTCGACTAATCGACAAAACATTTGGCGCTACGAATTCATTTGTGTTGAACAGAACCTAGAAAGAGTTTCTCCTTTTCCATGCCTGATCAGCATCAGGGTGGATTTCCGGCACCTTGACATTCTTCCTCAGCTCCTTCTTTCTCTTCCAGTCAGATCCGAATCTCTTGTCTCGATTTCCAACATGCTTCTCAAAGTCAAACTGCCCTTCTGCCGTGAAGCTCGTCATCAACTTTGGTTCGCCAAGCGGTAACTTGTCACCACGATCCGTCTGCCACAGGTGATACACCTTGCCGTACAGGTGCACAACCTCCTTCATCTCCTCTGTCTCGGCCGCCTCCCATGCCTGCTGCATTCCGGGCGCGGTCGGTCCCGGCATGATCAACATGCCCGACTTTACCTCGAAGACGTGCGAGTGCCAGTACTTGCGCTCCTCCTCGGGGAGCTCGGCGTACAACTTGTCCGTCACCATGTACTCGATGCCAATGAGTTTGGCGTCGGGGCCCGGACCATCGTACAATATGCACTGTCGCATATCCGAGGTCAGGTGCGCGCAATAATGGTTCGCCTCCACGTGTCGACCGGGCTCGTCGGCATAGGTGTGGAAGGCGTTGAGGTGTGCGCAAATCTGCTTGACAGGTTGGAATTCCTATGCAAGGACGTTAGTAGGGGGTGAACTTTTTTCATGCTTCGGACCATCAGAATACCTGTATCAAGCCTGCCCCAGTCTCGAGGACTTTGTCTTTGACGGGCACTGGGCCGCCGGGCACATTATGCTGGTGATGACTTGACGAGGTCATATTGGTATGGAGAGTTTCTGATATGCAGAATTGTTTCTGGTCAATTCGAGTGCGGGCTTGGATTCTCTGAATTGACTTTGTAGCTCGAAGCTTGGTGGTAATATTGATGACAGTTCGCAACTTTATTTATATATCTTAGTAGCTCATGCATATTGAAGGTGAAGCACAAGTCTCGAATAATACTTCTGATGTCATTACGACATCAGGCCCCGCAGTAGAGTCAATTGCAGCCACAAAGAGAGACAGGTAACTGCTACACTAACAAATATTGTCATGTTGGCATTTGATGTCGGCATTCGCTCATATTTGGACTGCCAGCTAGGTTGGCGCTATAATGAGTTCTGCATTTCTACCTGTAGTAGGAGATACTACATACTCATAGTATTAGTGGTTGCCGATCGCTCTGCACTAAATGTAGTTTGTACATACAGAGAGGTATGCAACTTGTCAGTAATTTTGGCATCTTCCAGCTGGGACTACCATAGTTGACGGCACACCTTCGTCCTTTTTCCCTTTACATAGGGTATGGAGCTCACGCCAGATGACTTGACAAATCGAAAAGACAAAACCGCAAGTTGGGATCTCGCTGTACAAGTATCACAGACTATAACTTATCTCGCCTGTGCTCCATAATGATGCATGTCCTGGGCTTGTACCACCACGTCAAGCAAGCATCAAACAAAAGTCCCTCGGAAAGGCTGTAGGGCACTTTCAACCTCAAATTCTACAATCGTCATGCAAAATATGAATTCTCGTGAGATTTGTCACTGCGATTCCAGATGGTTGCAATATTCCTGAGAATGGACGGTCACGTGTTGCTTGCCCAGGTACCTCCAATACCACCCTGAGAGAGGGGACAGATGCATCCGATGTGCTGAGCTTAACGCAACTTTACCCACTTGCACCCACCCGCTAGAGGCACCAGGGGGATGAAACGGGTCAATCAACACCACTGCTACTGCCTACCTTAGCCAGGACCTACCGGTACGAGGCATTCCGTAAACTGCCGCTAGGTAGAAGCTCCCCAGGCCTCCCAGCTTATTATTCGTTGCAACAAGCAACTTACATCCTCGTACTCGAAACCCATATCCAACTGCGCGACGAGCAACAGGCAGCGACACCTGCACGTGTATTTGCGCATTTCGTCGGTCGCTCGCTGCACATGTGCTTGTAGTGCTGTATAATGCGACTGCCCGACTGACGATATCCGAGCCAGCCCGCGCACAATGGCCGCCTCCCGAAGAGGCCAACCGGAGCTGCACGTTCGGTTGCCTCCGCGATCCCCGAGTACTGGCACCGGCCTCACCACTGGCACCTCGCTCGCCGCGCCCCAGCAGCTCGACCTCCCGCCCATCTCGGCCGTCTTCCTCATCGAGTTCGACGTCAAGGCCGGCTACACGCTGACTTGGAAGGCTGCAGAGCCCGGCATTGAGCTCGAGGGCGCCGTCGAGTACAAGTCCCTGCCCTCGGGCGCGCACACGGTCACCGACGACCTCATATACTTTGTACACGAGCGCTATGCCGGACTGAGCGCCTTTGTCAATGCCCCGATCCAGGACACCGAGTCTAGGAATGCTCGCATGTTGGCGGTCGGCGTGCTGGTGCCGCTGAGCTATGGACGGCTCGGACGAGCTTGGAGGCATGCCGAAGGTCTGAAGGAGATTGCGTCCAAGATGGTTGTCAGCGGGAAAGAGGTCAGCGTATTAGAACAGTATTGGGAGAAGAACAAGGCCCGCGATGAGTCTACAGAGCAGGACGCTCGGGCGTCCAAGGAATCTTTGGACTTGCCCTCTGTCACATTCGAGGACCAACCGAAGCCGCCAAAGAAGCAGAAGCATACTAGGCATAGGTCTGCTTCTGATGGGACAGGACTGCTGGCACCCGGTCACAAGTTGTCGCCGTTCCATCCAGCCTGGAGCTTAACGGCCTTGCTGGATACCTTTGGACCGCTCATTTATCCGATACACCGAGCTGCACTATTGCGAAAGCGCATTCTAATTTCATGCCATGCGCCAGTACAAGAAATCTGTAATTTTGGTGAGTATGCAAATCTCTACTTTTTTTTGCCATTTCATATCGTCTAACTCGGTTCAGTGTACAATATTTCCATCCTTTCCAACATTCCACTTCCCACATATGAGATTCTTCCTCCAGAAGGACCCTCGCATCGTCTGCGGCCTCTTTTCAACATAGGAGTCCATGACATTCCCTTCTTGGTCGAGGATGCCAAGTCGAAAAGAAGTGAAGACGAATCTTCAGATCAAGAGTCGGGGCTAGGTTCCGGATGGATAGCCTGTACTACCGACAGCATCCTCGCCCTCAAGGACACCTTGTGGGATATGTTGATAACCATGCCTCCACCGCATGCTTCTGCCGGCAAGGTCCGGGCTTGGCCTACCGTCGAGTGTCCACGAGGCGTGCCAGTCAAGGCTACTCAGCGAGATCTCCGCAGATACAAGGCTCTGCGTACTGGCTTGTCCAGGGTGCAAAACAACAGTAATGTCGTTGCAGAGAGCCCAGAATCACCTAGGCCACCCACTGTTTTAACAAATCCCCAACAGCAGACCCAAGACGACCCGAGTCTAGATGAGGCGGAAAAGATTGTCGAGCCGCTCTCGTGGGCGGCACTGGCCTATAACGGCTTCATGTGGTGGGCCTCGGCTGGAGAACAGGCCCGAGCTGATGAGGTCGAAGAGTCGTCCAATGACGCCTCACTGCTGGCGGAGGTGACGCATCCCAACATGTCAATGCACATGACTTCATCCCTTGGGTCCATGAGGCGAACGTCTTCGATTGGCGGTCTCGGAGGACCGCTTCCCATGGACGAGGCGAGGGCTGAACTCGCCATCATAACATACTTTCACCGCCTGACCTCGCAGCTCCTCACGAGATTTGCCGAGATTGTAGAGAGCAGCGAGGTGGACGAGGAGGGGGAGCCGAGTAATGAGGATGACGACGCTATGCTTCCCGACGAAGTCAGGGAAGACTATGATGGGGCCATTCGAATCAATCCCGAAGAAATCAAATCAATGGGCCTGGATCGCTGGAGTAAGAGCGATGCCGAATTTATCCACGAGTTGGCTGATGTATATTTCGGCAGATCGGCCTATGTGGAAGGCAAGCCGGTCGAAGTCTGCGGCGTTCGGGTTTGTTAAAGGGGAACAGTCTCCCCAATTGTAGACTATTCTGTCGATTTTCCCTGGTATGCTGGACTTGTTTCTTATGGTTGGCGCAAAGTAGAGGCCAAGGCCCAAATTTCCAGTGATGATTGTATTGCTCCAGAACCCACCTTCATTCCTCAATACGTGATATGTAGTGCGAGTATCCATCCGCCTGTGAAGCAATCCCCTCAGTTCAAGAGACTACTCGTTTTTGTATATTGATTCCAGGGACACCTGACCACCAACTCGCCCACGATGTTTGAGCTCCCGGTGACCTGCCAAAGCCATATTGGCTGGATCGTCCACGCTGGTCACGATTATCGGTCTTGACTACGAATGAAAGTCTCCAGGACACCCTTGATCACACAATCAATTTGAAAACGGTTTATAAAGACTCGCGCACTTGCCTCAATCAGGTGTTGGAGCAGTGCAAATTATCTTGTACTGACGATGCAACATATCATACGCAGGTTGAAATTCGGTGAGTCTGCGTTTAAACAAACGCTTATACAGAATCTTTTTCCTCGCTCTATTTTCTCCATTTGGGTTATGCGAAGTTGAAACTACCTAGAGAAAGACCCTCTGCACGTCATTCTCTTTTCAACAGCATGGAGAAGGTCTCAGAATATTATACTAGACACAAGCGCAATGTCCACCACGGGTTCTGATAAGTGCATTGCTCCTCTTCATTGCTCACTGGATCATTCTGGACCCCAACTATAAGATGTTGTGCTGATGCTCCATCCTCAGTCTCTTCGATTGCCTAGCTCAAACCCAACTGCACTGGTTTGATTCGCCGCTCCCAGAAATTATTTTCCAGACCCTTGTGGATATACGGGTCCCCAAGTCCTTTTTCCATGATCTTGTTGATTCACAGGTCCTCTGAACCAGTTTCCGGAGTCTTGTTGATTTGTGGTTACCCTTTGTTCATGTGTATGATCTGATTGATTCACAGCTCTCATGGACTGGTTTCCAGAGTCTAATTGGATTTCGGTTCCCCGAGTCCTGTGCATATAATCTGGTTGACTTTCTGCTCCCATGGGCTGGTTTCCAGACCCTTGTGGATATGCAGGTCTCCAAGTCCTCTGTACATGATCTTGTTGATTCACAGGTCCTCTGAACCAGTTTCCAGAGTCTTGTTGATTTGCAGTTCCCCTGATTCCATCTATACGCTCTGGTTGACTTGCAACTCCCATGAACTGATTTCCAGAGCCTTGGTTTTCGGGTCTCTCTGACCCGCTTGCAAACCCTTGCTGACTTGGTGCTCCTCGAGGTCCGTATGCAGGATTAGAAGGGACATAACGTCCGAACATGCTGTCAAAGCTTGGTAGTTGTATATCACCTCTGGATCCGTCTCTGTAGTCTGGTGGATTCGCTGCCTCTCCAACACCGGTACCATGGACTTGGGGTGCGGCTGCTCCGGTCCTGGTTGGATCGTTTCGTCTTTCGTATCTCAATACTTGGGGATCCGCAGGTTCTATAGGCCTGTTTCTAGAGCCGTAAGTTTCCCAGCCACTAAACCCGATCCCAGGATCGCGATGCCTATGCCCTCGTAGCTCGTGTCCAGGATCTGGTTCAGATTGGTTCATAGCCCCAACAGGTCCGGAGCCAGAAGCTTGTTCATCCACGCCTCCTCCGGTCCCATCCACACTGCCTCCTTGGCTACCAGGAGCCTCGCTCGGAGCGGGCATGCCCCAGTTACCGGCTTCATCCAGCGTGCTCTGAAGCCTATCTGTTTGTAGCTCACACTTTGTACCGTGAACTGCGCATCGCGAACACTGTGATGTGACATAGCGACATAGGCTCAGCAAGTGTCTCACGCATAGAGCGGCGCCGAGTATGTACTTACAGGATTCTGGCTTGATATATCGCAGTCTGTGACCTTCTCAGCCCTGCCGCACTCGATACAGCGGTCTTTCAATCGAAACCGTTTAAAATAGTCACATACGATCTCTTGTTGCACGCATCTTCCGCATGCCGGCAGAGCTCTATCGCACAAATGACCCACATCCCTTGCTATGCAAGGGCGGCAAATCCCTCGCTGACGGTACATTTTCTGATGACTATTGCCGGGTCAAATTGGTACGTGAGATTTGTAGTAATGTTCGATATGAGTATGTGTAGTGGATGGAAAATACGTCGAGTAATTCCAATTTACTATGAATGTGCTTTGTTTCCCCGGACCCGGAGCTGCAAGTAAACCAGGCCCTTCTCTGATGTCATTCGATCGCAGTAGCTTCTCGTGAAATTGACATCTCTTGCCGACTTGGTAGGTACTATGCTCCCACTTCATCCGGCAGGCACTGTAGGGGTTCTCAACAAGATCGCGCTCGGTGGCACTTCGAGCCCTTCATGTTGATCCTGTGAGGTTCATACAAACTCTGAGTTTTCACCATCTTGGCTTCCGTATTCACATTAATCTAAGGTACCATTGATCTCATATTCATTGATGCACTTGGTGGCTCGGATGAATGCGATTCTCAACCCGCACCTGCTCCGGTGCCACTATCAAAACCATCCTCTCATCTCTCAGAGCATGTATACAGGTGGCTCTTTCCCTTGAGGCCAGTCTCTTTCACCATCTTCAAACCATCTAATGGCGACCATGTGGTTCAGGAGTTCTCTCAAACTTGACTGGGCCTCCGGATCTGATGACATCATACTGGCCGTCCATGTACTCGTCAAAGCCCATGGTATGATCCCAATTGCTTTCCATATACTCGTCGCCCTCATTAGGGTTGATCGGGGCGGACTCGCCACCGCCGTCGTAGATGCATTCCCCGTGGATATTGGCGCAGTTCTGACAGCGGGGCGTGCGGCCATCACAGAGCCACCACCGGTTGAAGCAGTTTGTGCAGCCCGTCTGAATTGTGGTAAAGGTCTTTTTGACGACGAGGGGCTCGTTGCGAGGACGATGCCATCTGTAGTTGCACGGAGTGCCTTTCTGGAAACACGGGTTGCAGGCGGGCTTGGCGCCGTCACAGTGTAACTCGCTCTGCCAGCAGGATAGGCATTCTATTTCATCTGGGCGCTGAGCGGCCTGGCCGCGCTGGTTACCCTGGTTTCTTCGGTTGCGTTGGGGACGCTGGTTATCGCGATACTGAGCTCTGACTGACATGATTGGTCTGACCTGTGCTTGGTCGAAGTTGACTTGGCCGTGGTATGACTGATAGGTGTGTGTGTGAAATGGTGCGTGTAGTTGTGTGTATACAGAAGATATCAAAGCAGTTTCTTGGATATGGGGTTGGTTTATTTATACTTGAACATTTGTGCTATTTAGCAGTTATTCACTTTATTTTATCTTCCTATCCACCGTATAATAGCTAATGTGAGTTCAACTACTGGATTGTAGTATAAGATCAGTTATTCCACGCATCCTATCTAGTTAATAAGAGTGCCTTCTCTGAGAGAAAGAGTGGTTATCTTACAGATCAGTGAATACAACTTCACGGATTCGGGCCTGGAGTCCTATTCATCTACTGTTTCAGACATTATCTGTAACATAGCCATTTGAACTATTTCCGTACGACCCCGAGCCTTTTCATCAGAATCTATCAAAACTGCATATTATACTTTTTCTGGGGATCTGATGCTTGCGATCATCAGACGACCATATAGCACGGAAGATTCCTTGTTAACCAATAACATCACGATTCGTGTAGGCGACCGGAATGTTGATCTTGAAGCGAAAACGCGATATGGTGTCAACGGAAAGGAGACGCTTGTCCAAAATAAGATTGACGTACAGAATTCCGCAACAGATGTATTGATCGTTTGCTTGATAACAACGCCGAGGTTGAGTGACATGTTCAATGCAGCGGACAGTATAAATCTTGGAAGAAAGCTCGAAGCAAAATTGGTACAGGTTGAATCATGGCAGTCTGCCTCGGAGCACTATCGTTCAACGTCCGCCGTTGCTGTTATTTAGTTTTAGAAACCCAGTGAGGCCATGGGAATCACGTGGGATTAATCAAAATTGTAGTCGTGGGTAGTTTACTTCATTGGAAGTCTTGGATGTCTAGAACATGGGAAAGATTCAACGATGCGGCAAACGAGACAGTCCGTAGATACCGAACAAGATCTCGTAAAGTAGCCCGCAGACATTGCGTCCATAATATGAGGATTGTTAAAAAACAGGAAAACTCTTTCAAGCCTGCTTCAATGAGAAGTTTGACGACCCCTCGACTGCCAGCGAATTATTCTCACCCGTGGTTTGCTCTCTTCGATCTCTGGTGTTCCATGTGGAACCAAACTTTTCAATCCAGCTTTTAGATCAGATTCTCTCTTGTACTTTTATAGAATGGGGTTTGTAGGATTTATTTAATTACATTACTCTGTTTTTTCTTTCTTGGGATACTATTGAGAGGCCACGAATGATAATTCCATGCTTGTCGATTCAGGTGTTGAGGGAGATATGAGCGGTTGTTGTAATAAACTTTCCAGAATTGGAAATTTCGTATACTCGTAGGTGGATCAGGGTTCTCGATTGTAACACAAAGTACCCGAACATGGAGTAAATCACAAAAGGTTTCGCTTTGCACGTGCGCCTGAGTCGCATTCTGGCTTTTCAGGGTCCAAAATCAATAAGAGCCAACCTAACATGTATAAAATGCGTTAAAATGGATAAATTGTAGCTGTGCAAAAACACTGGAATGCTAAAGCAATACACAAAACAAAACCCGTGCAACTTTTGGGACGCTATGATACAGAGTATGTACTCTGTACATCAATTGGGAAAAACATTGAAAAGGGACCCTGCAGTTCTGGGTGCAGTGGTTTGGAGTAAGCAAGGTTAAAAACACATTGGCGCATGTACCTAGGGTAGGCCGGGTGGACTGGCCGGGGTTTCCCTAGCGGCAATCTGGTGGCTCCCCCAGGCGGCAAACCCACCTAACACAAAACCTTACTTTCCTTAGCCGGATTATTATTTCGCCCGGGCGTTCGCATTTTTTAGGAGGCCACGATTCATCAGTGAGACGGGCGGCATCAGCCATTGGCCAGACAGACAATTGGTTTAGCGCGCCTCCCCCGACACCTGGTCTCAATGGGGCTACGTAGCTACTTCTAAATTGCGGCAACGTATTTCATAAGGCAAAACCACCTTGAACCACCTGCTGCTTGCTACCCAGCTCCAACCAGCAAGCAAGCGAGCAAGCAAGCAAGCAGACAGATTGACAGACAAAATCTGTCGAGGAACATTTTTGGACGGACAGACGGACAACTCCATCACATCCTCACATCTGCTGTCTGCCCATCATGTCGTCCGACTACAGCTATGACGAGCATGGCACTTTCTACCCCTTCTTCCTCTTTACAATTACTGGCGTCGTCACGCTTCCCTTGACTTACAGCCTTTTGCGCCCCAGCACCGACGCCGCCGCCCTCGCGCCCAGGATAAAAAGCGACTACAAGTCGGAGCACCATGCCGTCGTCGACGCTCAGCGTGCTTCGCTGAAGCGCAAGCAGCGCAGGGTCAAGCGCGCCATCGCCGTCATCCTCGGCTGGGCCATCATGGGCCTCATGTTTTACCTCGTCCTCACCACCCAAGCTACCGTCGCCAAGATATGGAATCGTAAGACCAGCTATACCACTTCTGCTCCTGATAGTCGCCTGTTCTAGTTCTAACACACACGCGCTCAAACAGCCTACGACATTCTCGGAATACCCGATTCCTACTCGGAAAAGCAAATCAAGTCCCACTACAAGAAGCTGTCGCTCAAGTTCCATCCCGACAAGGTCAAGCCCGACCCTGCCAAGAATGAGACCCTCGAGATGCTCAATGACAAGTATGTCGAATTGACGAAAGCTTACCAAGCTCTCACCGACGAAGAGGTTCGCAACAATTACATCCAGTACGGCCACCCCGATGGCAAGCAAGGTTTCAGCATTGGTATCGCCTTGCCCAAGTTCATTGTGTCCGATGGCAACGGCAAGTATGTTGTTCTGGTCTATGGTCTGCTCCTCGGCGTGCTTCTTCCCTACCTGGTTGGTTCCTGGTGGTACGGCACTCAGCGAATGTCCAAGGAGGGCGTCCTGATTGATAGTGCTGGCCGTCTGTTCCGCGAGTACGAGGACAGCGACGAAGAGGGTCGTCTCATTGCTGCTCTCAGCACCGGAAAGGAGTTTGAGGAAAAGCTCAAGGGTCAAAATGCCGAATCTGGTCTCTCTAAGATTGAGTCGAGAATTCAGGCTGCTGGTATACTATCTACAAAGGATCAAGAGAAGCTGGAGAGTCTCGACGGAGTGAGAAGAAAGGTCCTCGCCCTCTTGTGGGCTTACCTCGGTCGCGTGGATCTCGACGATCAAGCTCTTGAAAACGCCAAGTACATGGTTGCCCCGATTGCTGTCGCGCTTGCGCAGTCATACAATGCCATTGCGCTCGCATACGGCAACACCAAGGCCATTCTGTCATCCTACACTACTACGCAACGACTGATCCAGGCAGTGCCACCAAAGGCATCGCCGCTCCTCCAACTCCCTCACTTTACTCCTGAAATCGTCTCGGCTGTCGAGGGCGCATCCAAGACCCACATGACCGTCCAACAGTTCATGGATCAGCCTGACGCACAACGTCGCAGTCTTGCCGTGGGCAAGGGCCTTTTGTCGCCGGATCAGTACAAAGAGGCTGTCCATGTTGCCACTCAACTGCCACGCTTTGCTGTTGCCAAGGCCTTCTTCAAGGTTACTGGTGAAAAGTACATCATCCCTTCTTCTCTGGTCAGCTTGGTCGTAAAGGGAAGAATCGTTCCTCCCGGCAGCACCAATGTTCCCGCCGTCAAGGAGGCAGATCTCGAGGACCCCGACCCGGTTGAGGGTGACCTCAAGGCTCTCAAGAAGGATGAGGAGGGCGAGAGAGTTCTTCCTCCCTTGGCTTTCGCTCCCCGTTACGCTCGAAACCACTCCCCCCGGTGGCACATTTTCTTGACCGACAGCAAGCAAGGCAAGATGGCTGTTCCTCCCTTTACCTTTACCACGTTTGACAAGCCCATCTTTGACGCCGACGGAAAACCCACTTTCAACATGCAGACTCTCAAGGCACAATTCGCTGCCCCTCCTGGCCCTGGTCACTACACATTCGTTATGCACGTCATTTGCGATGCTTATGTTGGATTTGACACCAAGCTCGAGGTGACCTTGGTGGTTGACGATGCTGCCAAGGCTACTCAGGCCGCAGAGGAGGACGACATTAGCGAGCCGGAAGAAGGTAAATATTCCACTTATCCCCATGTAACTTTAGACGCACCGGCTAATTCTAAACTAGATTCCCTCGCCGGTCAAATGAATGTTCTGCGCGGCAACGGAGCACCTACAAAGCCTAGAAAGGCATCTGATTCGGACGAAGACGAGGAGAGTGGCACAGATGAAGAGGTGGACGACACCAGCGATACCAATACCGACACCGAGGATGAGTCGTGAAAAAGAGTTGTATATTAGCAGGCTGCATAGGAAAACGGCGTCGGTGGCGTTCAGCGGTGACATAATTCGCCGGATATTGTCTACTTGTCCCCTGCGCATGACAGGGAAATGATTATAGAAAAATCACTTGTTTCAGCGGTAAATTTTCATGCTGTGTCAATGTGACTAAGTGCTGATCTGAAGGGAGTGCACTCTTGCAACGTGCTCCCATGTTCTTCATGATCGGCCACTGGCCTCCCAGTGTTGTCGTCAATGGGTGGTATTCACACTCCTCGTACTGTCACACCCAGGCAATATTCGTTTACTGTGGTCATACGCGGGTGGCAATCCTTTGGCATCGAGACGCTCAGGAAAGACTTATACTTTCGGGCGATCTTTTACATGTCAAGATGGCCGATACCAAGGATATTTGCAGGGATAAATCATAGAATTGTATGATAAACGTGCCTCTGTTCTACCTGCTCCACTGAACCAGCTTGATATTATAGACCTCGGCTCTACGTTTGTCGTCACATCAAAGAATCATTTCCCCTTAGAAAATAAGCTAAAAGCAATCAGTCCTTGATCAAACATTGATGGCGACACATACTTTCGATGCACTATACATTGAATAGAATGATCCTGTAGCATTCTTGATGGCAAGGTTTGTGACTTTTGTATATGTGTATGAAAAAACATTCGATACTGTCAAGCTGTTTCTTGACTTCTGTTTTGGAAAACAGAGAAGCTATATTAAATATAGCACTGATACTCTCAAGTTTACTTTGGCGGATGGAAGCCAGATTTGCCGCAACATTTTTCGGAATTTCCGAGCCGCGTAGTGTTGGAATAGTAATGAAAAGATCAGGAACTGCCGTCAAGTTCCACGGTGCCCGGAAGCTGGCCACCAGGGTAAGAGATCACCACGTCTTCTATCAGTCTAGGTTGCATTAACGAAGCTAGTACCTGACATTACATCCGCGCCAATCAGAAGGCTAGACTCCGCCAAGGTGTACGAAACAGGCAAAACTATTCAAAACCTACGTAACACTATATTTAATCGCAGTCGGAATTTCCGGCATTGCAGAGCCCTTTCTATATATATTGGACAGTTCAATAGGTATTTAAATAAACAGCAACGATAAGTACTATAAGAAATACTAAAAAAATAAATAAACAAGAAAATATACTGATTTTCTGGCCCAGACATCCACTCCAAGTCTGCGGCAAAGTACTTGCCTCGTCCCATCCCGTCTAAAACTTCGATTATGGCTGCCACTGAGCGAGTACCCGAAAGGGTGACCATGCCATTCGACCAGGCAAAAGTCGACTCTCAATTGGCAGCCCTCACTTTGGAAGAGAAAGTATCACTGCTAGGGGGTAGCGGCTTTGCGACACTCACAGGGGTTCCAAGGCTGGGCATTGAGTCCATGAAGGTGAGAGGTTCTTGTTACCATCTTCCCCCCACCCCCCGAACTCGAATGAAGCCCTTTCTTTTTTTTACTCGCAGTAATCAAGACTAATAATACGTCGCTCAAAGGTTGCCGAGGGCGTCAATGGCGTCAAAGATGCAATGATGATTGACTCTGGAGACACAGTTGGTGATGTATTGGCAGGAAAGGGCCCAAAGACAGTCTGCTTTCCGAGTACTTCTTGTTTCGGCGCAACGTGGAATACGGATCTGATGTGGGAGCTGGGAAAGGCCCTCGCCCAACAGGCGCGACAAAAGGGCGTAGCGACCATCATGGGTCCTGGCGTCAACCTGCACCGCGATCCGCGAGGCGGCCGGAATTTTGAGTACTTTGCCGAAGATCCTCTGCTCACTGGACGGCTGGCTGCCTCGCTTGTCAATGGCATCCAGGCCCACGGCGTCGGGGCGTGCCTCAAGCACTTTGTTGCCAATGAGGGCGAGGATTTCCGAAGGTCTTATAATGTCGTCGACCCCACTGGCGGTCGCGCTCTCCGCGAGCTGTATCTTGCTGCTTTTCAGGAAACTCTTCGATATTCGGACCCTGTGGCCGTCATGACTTCGTAAGTCTACTGAAGTTCCAGTCTCTGGTATTTGCTTGTGACCACAAAACTTGAGTCTAATTCTACGACAGGTATAACAAGTTGGATGGCGTGCATTGCTCCGAATCGCCCATCATCGCTAAAATTCTTCGTGGGGAATGGAATTACGGCGGCGCTGTTCAGTCGGATTGGTTCGGCACAGCATCGACTGTTGATTCCGTTCTGGCTGGCCAAGACCTAGAGATGCCTGGTCCTCCAGTCTGGCGTGGTCGACGTCTTCTAAACGCCGTTGAAGAAGGCAAACTCGACGAGACCGAGATTGACAAGAGAGCACGCAAGATGCTAGAGTGGATCGAAAAGACTACCGGCAATGACTTTTATAAACAGCCGCAGCCAGAGGATGACACCAAAGCCATTCTTACTTCGCGCCGGGTAGCAGAAGAAGGTATAGTGCTGCTCAAAAATGACGACAGAGCGTTGCCTCTGGACTTTACAAGACCTTTGAAGATTACAGTTTCTGGCTTGCCTGCTGTTGATCCTCCAGTGGGAGGTGGTGGCAGCTCGCTCGCGCCTCCTAGCTCCGTCAAAACACCACTCGATGGTATCCGAGATGTGCACGCCTATCCAGACTTGGTCGACTTTACTGGCGGATGCAAGATGAACAAAATCATACCTCTGCTCCCGTCAGAAATCGTACGAAACCCGCAAGATGGCTCCTCCACAGTGCATGTGGTTTATTACAATAACAAATTTCCGACAGCCGTGCATCATGAAGATTTACATACAGCTCAGGTCATGATGCTTGGACACGTGAAACCCGGTCTTGACGAAGCCGGATTCAACTACGTTATGAGCACTACGTTGGTAGCTCCTGCGGATGGAACGCATACTATTGGTGTCCGCTCCACAGGATCATATCGACTGCTGGTTGATGATATCGAGGTCAGTGCCATCTATTTTTCTTTCTCTTGTCTGTTTATAGCCCATTGGAGCGATTGGATGCGCTGCTGACCTTTCCGTTTCTCAATCAGGTTTTGTCGGCATCTGGAATTGTGGCAAACGCCGAAGACCTCTTGTTTACGCCGGCGAAGCTCGAAAAGTCAGTGTTGTATGCCATGAAGGCAGGGCAATCGTATACTATCAAGCTGCTTGTCCATGACCAGAAATCACCAAAGCAAAAGCCCAATGAACCTGGTGCATACGCCTCTGCCTTGTGCTTTCAGCAAGAGCATCCGATCGAGAAGGTTATTGAAACTGCCGTGGCAAGTGCAAAGCGCTCAGACGTGGCCATTGTCTTTGCCGGTAGAAATGCCGAGCATGAGACTGAGGGTGGTGACATGGTCGATATACAAATTCCTGGAGACCAGCTACGTCTCATTCAAGAGGTCTCGGCTGTCAGCAAAAAGTCCATCGTCGTTCTCTATGGTGGCGGCGCAATGGACGTCAGCTCCTTTGTCGACGCAGTGGATGCAATAATCTTTGCACACTATCCTGGCCAAGAAGGCGGTACAGCCATCGCCAATGTTCTTTGTGGTAAAACAAATCCCAGTGGCAAGCTCACTACAACATGGCCCCGGCGGCTTGAGGACACACCAACCTGGAAGCATTTCCCGGCTATCCCAAAGCCCGATGATGGCGTCAACATGGAGTTGGCAGAGGGTCTCGAAGTTGGTTATCGTCGGAATTGGGAAAATATCCCGGGCGGTCCACGATACATGTTTGGTCACGGGCTCTCGTACACTTCATTCTCCTACACCAATCTTTGCCTAGAGCCGTCGGCAATCAACCTCGCGGATGAGGGCACCACTGACATCTCGGTAAAGCTCACCTTGACCAACAACGGACCTGTTGAAGGTGCCGAGGTTGTGCAGCTCTATGTTGCCCCGGCGAGTGACGGCAACAAGTCGGATCCCTCAGTTTCAATGCACCACGCAAAAACGTTGAAGGGTTTCCAGAAGCTGCGCCTCGGATCGGGAGAGTCCACAGAGGTTCGAATCACTGTCTCACTGGAAAGCGCAATCTCATTCTGGCATACTGAAACTTCCGAGTGGCGGACAGCGCCGGGTATATACAACTTCAGTATTGGAAGCGGGCCTGACGCTCCATACAAAAGTCTCACAGTCACAGATAAGCAGTAATAATTCAAATAAAGATTTGTTGGATGGGATATCACAGAACGGTCATCACTCAACTTGACAGATTGTGATGTAATCAACATACTTTTCAGTTACCGGCATGAATCGACTATAAATAGAATCATACACCTCAGAATAATAGAATGACTACCGCATGACTACTCAATGGGCACAAAGTTGGATGCGGGAGTGTCAATAATTGCCCAGATGGCCAAGTTCACGTGCCGTCTCGTGGCGCAGGCGCCGCTTGCTGCGTCGGCACACTATTGGGCAGTATGCGCACTTGTACTGGCGACCCTGCGGGCTACCAACTTCCCCTGTTTACGACGCTGGTGCGACTACTGAGCTGGGTTCTACCGGCGTGGGTGGGAACCGTTAGGCCAGCCTCGGTCGACCTGTGTATAGGCAGGACGCTGTATTCTTGCCTCTCCATCCACCAACTGCGACGTTAAAGAAGACAACAAGTAACGGGGAACGGAGGATCCCTCATTGTTACAATTCCCCTCCCGACCATGGGACATTCTCACCCCTCGCTGACTTGGTCAAATAGAAGGCCAATGATCTGAAGACCTGCTCCCGGATATGGCGGGAATCGTTGAACTCTCGAGTTTCGGACCCCTTATTTTGCCGACATCCAGCTAACAGGTTTTATCAGCGCAATAAAGCCCTTTAAATTAAAAGTATTGCATTTATTAGTCGTCCAAATCTACTCTTACTACGTCATTTCACATTGAAAGTTCCCTAAAACCATACCCAGCGCAACTTGTAGCTGCAGAGTGCCGCCAACACCATCTTCAATCTCCCCAGGCGTATCCCATTTAGCCTTCAACTCCTGTCGCTTCTCCCACATGCCAAACCTAATTAGAAATCTGTGCATGCTAGCAAGAGCGTTGTCAAGGCTACCAGAAACCCAAGCATGATGGGCACTGCTCGCTTCTCCGCATATATGGAAGCGACTGTCCGCCGCCGGGCGCGAGAGGTAGGGATACAAGTTCGAAAACTGACCAGGACCAAACAGCGCAAACGCGCCTGAAGTGAACGGGTCCTGTGACCAGTTGAATGCATGATGCGATATGTATGCTTGACTAATGAGCTCAAGGACGTACTCCAGAGTCGGCAGAGTAGCGGAATGTGAAGCTTGTTGCTGAAAGTTTGCAAGATGCAGTCGTGCGAGATTGTCCAACATCAAGTCACGGAGCTCGTCATCAGTGGCGACCCCTTCGATTCCCCCAGTCTTGCGTTGGATCAAACTACCAATCCGTGTCGCATCCTGAGCCCAAGTGTAGCTGCATAACAGTACTGCTGGCTGATCCGTCGGGTCCTGGAGATTGTAAGAAGGGTACACGCAAGTGCGAAGTGGTGCATCCGTACAGGCGAAACCCCCGGCCGTAATACCGCATCTGGTTCTCCACCAGGGGTAGGAGAATTTCATGGCCACCTTTGTGCTATCATCGTAATGGAGAGTTCGAATTGCGTCTCTCTGAGTGGGGTGAAGTTGAAGGCGAGTCAAATCCATTCGTTGCAAACACGCCAGACTCGTTGTGTTGAAGACGGTGCTGTATGGTAGTCGAGTCCCTTCGGGCTCACCAGCAACACATACGGTGATTTCGTTTGTCTCTTCGTTCTGGGAAAACCCCTCCACGCGCATTCCATGCTGCACAGGCTGTGTAATGGACTTTTCCATGGCTTGGGATAGAAGTGAACTACCACCATCAATGCAATACCATTTCGTATCCTCACTCTTTTCAGTAGTGCTGAAATCCAACGAGTCCATAACAGACTCGGAAAATGCCTGGTCAAAGATACTAGTGGATGTTGTATTCGTTTCAAGCCATTGACCAGTGAAGAAATCCAGGGGCTCCCAAGGCTCCCAGCCATCCTCTGGCGGTGGCGGGTTTCTTAGGAACTCCCGTGTGCTCCAGCTGTCATATCTCATAAGTAGCTTGAAACCCGCTTCGAAATCCTGAGTGATTATTCTTTTGAACGGTTCGAAAGCGTTGCTTAGCAATTGATTGACTCTGTCTACGAGATGGTCAGGCACCGACCCACCATTTGCTCGTCCGACACGGAAGGGGTCTCGACCAGGCTGTTGGCCATCGATAATTGTGATGCCGTTGTACATGGTGGGACAATTTATGGAGCCTTTCACAGCTGAATCCGGGTCCTTGTGATCATGATAATGTCTGAGCAACGGAATATCCAGCTGTTCAAATAGCTGAAAGGTAGTGCGCATCGCTACAATATCGGGAAATCGCATAGCGCCAATATCGTAGTAATCGTGTGGCTCATCCGAGAAGTAATGGGTGCGGATGCGCCCTCCAGTCTTATCTGAGGCTTCCAAAATATCGTATTCCAACCCAGGTATGTTGAGGCTATCCAAAAGCATGGCAATGAACAAGCCAGTAACGCCGGCACCGACGATACATATCCTATGTTTGAGAAGAGGTTTGTTTGATTTTGCAAAAGCCGTATCGAGGATACTCTGTGAAACCGATGGCCGAAGAAGAAAGTCTGTTGCCTCAGAAATGAAAGCTAAACCAGCGTGATGGCCGTGCTCCTGTTTGACTTTTTCTAAAAGTCTAGGGAGGTCTTCGAGAAGGTTCTTTTTCACAAGTCTGGACGCCCATTGTGACCGGAAGCTAAGGATAGGTGCTTTCATCGTTGGCGAGGAATTGTTAGACGCGACGAATGACGGGAAAGCCGTTTAAAGATGTAAGAGTCGCTTTGGTATTCTTGTCGATGGCGTACGAACAAATATCCTTATTGGCCACTTCACACAGTTGGGTATGCAGTACTTGTAAAACCCTTGACGATTAGATATCATCTTATATTGATGGAATTATGAAATTCGAGTAGCTAATCCGCGGTGGATACCACTTACATTCGGCAGTCCTTCCGGCGATAAGGGAAAGTAAAATTATTATTGCTCTTGCGAACAAACTGATCTGATACCCTTGAACTTGCACAATAATAATCTAACGACTACGATCAAAGAAGGGGAAAAAAGGCGAGTAAGGTTAAATGATTTAACAGGAGTCGTGCACATATACTCCAGAAAGGTGATTGGAACCATGATTGTAACGGCTGATATGAATCTAATATTATCGACACTCATAGCAAGCTTTTGCATACACCGGAACGTTTCCCCATTTATTCGCCTTTTAGCTAGGTATATAAACTTCTCCCATAATTCTTTTTTCTAGCTATTAGCAACTTTGCTTAAAGTTCCATTTTATAGGTGCCAAGGCCCTATACACGAAATTTAACGCTCCCAAAAAACATGGCCCGAGCCATAATTTATGGGCTGAGCTGGTAAAATGTAGCAGTTCAAGGCGCAGCTATTCTGCAGCTGCGCTAATGCAATACCCCTAAGGCAAATTACTAATTTTGTTAGCGGGCTCCAGCGGTTGCTTTTAGCCATTGTCACTTATTGCAGCTGGTGCAGCTCGGCTCTAATTAGCAACTTACACCCGAGCTTATGTGGGCCAGGCCATGACTTTTGGGAGCGACTTCCGTATAAGTGTCGAAGTTTGTCATTTCATAACGCTGGACGTTATTATCGGACAACTCATGAATGGACTGCCGGGGGTTGTGGGTGACTCGAGTAAATTCCGGGATTGTAAATCTCCTTGCTGACCGACCTGCCACAGCCTGTTTCGTAGCTTGAAGGGCTATGTCCTGTCAATCGCCCCAAACGAAATTGGTGACCAGTAATTTGCACAATACTGCCGTCCTATGCCCCGCAACAATATCGATGATTGAAATGAATAATATCTCACCTAAGTGATTGAGTCCAGGTGAGTAAACTTACAGACATCTGCCATATAGTATTGGTTGATCACTAAACCCTTCACGGCAGTCGTCTTAGACCCGGTGACTAATTCGCCCTCAACACAAACTTCGTAGCGAAATCAGCATAATGTCTAAATCATAAGAAGTCCTTTTTATTAATCTGAGTCAGAGTGAGTATAAGGTGAATTACACCACGTCATTATCGCTTCAAAATACATATGTTAATCAATATTATTATTATTATTATTATTTACTTATGTTTGAAGCGAAAAATAATACCAGAGCTAAACACAATCTTTAGCTGGCGGCTTGGTTATAGCTAGACTCGATATCATCTTGATAAATTTTCTGTCTTTTCCTCTTTACTTTTTTCAGAAGTCTAATCTAATAGTAAAAGAAGTTTCTTCGCGAACCTGTCTATTCACAAACTTTCCATCATCCATCCTGCCGTATGCCAAACAATGGTCATGAAAATGCAGTTGCATGATGTTGTCATAGTGGGCGGTGGCGCCATTGGACTGAGTACCGCATACGAAGTAGCAAAAGCAGGCAAGTCTGTCTTGTTACTAGAGAAAAACTGTTTCTTCAACAGCGCTGGGAGTTCGAACGACCTAGCTAGAATGTATCGAACAATGTATGAAAAGGTCTGTCCTAAAAAAAATCAAATTGACACGCAGCTGATGTGGGAACTAAGGTATACTGAAGAATTCATGGCGAAGCTTGCATATCAATCGATTGATATATGGAAAGAATTAGAGATAGCCGCGGGCACGTCTTTACGCTCCATGACGGGTCTGCTCAACTTCGGAGATCCAACGATGGGGAAAAACACTCCAGAAGGTGACATTTCAAGTCCACGTTGTTCATGTGCCAGGAAGGTTGACTTCATTGCAGGAACGCTCAATGGTCCAATTGCTAACCTCGACAAACTGGGTTTGCCTTATCGGAAGAGTAAGTATTGAATCACAGGCCAGCCACCTCCTTGCTCACAAAAGTCTAGTGTCAAAACAAGAGATTGAATCCGAATACTCTTTCCAAAATCTACCGGATACCTGGGAGGGCGTCTTCGCTCGAGATAATGGCGTTATAAATGTTCCGCTGCTACTTCGAACCCTTTTACGACTCGCTTTGGACTATGGTGCTCACGCGCAGCAATACGTGGAAGTTACAAAACTAATACCCACTAAGGAGAGGGGCGAGGACCTTTGGAATGTTGAAACACTTACCAATGGCAATGAGAAAGCAGTGTTCAGAACGCGGAAAGTAGTCGTAACGGCTGGCGCGTACACAAACCACATCTTGCAACCCAGTTTTGACCTGAAGTTGAAGCTCAACATTTGGGAGATGGTGGCATCATATTTCAATGTGAATCCAGATCCTAAGAAGAATATGTTCCCAAGTATGGAGCTAGCCTAAACAGCTACAAGGCACTGCTGACAGTGAAGTATAGGTATGTGGTTCCAATTCGCGGAAGACAGCTACGGCAGATCGCAATTATTCTACGGATTTCCACCTCTTGATTGGGGCCCTCCTAATATCTGTCGAATTGCCGTAGACGCGGCAACGAGACAAATCACAGACCCCAACCAACGGAGCAGGAATGTTGTCAACCCAGAAGACATCCATGACACGCAGGAGTTCATCAAGGAGCATGTTGTAGGAGTTGATTCCACAGTACCTGCTTACACGCTGTCGTGTCTCATGACCAATGTGTTCGGTATGTACAGCTATAAGTCTAATAGACACAATTAACACTATATCAGACAACATGTTCGTCCTGGATTTTGTGCCAGAACATTACCTCAAAGGGGGGCCAAGAAATAGTGTTGTCTTGTTCACCGCTGGGTGGGCCATGAAATTTGCACCACTTTTAGGGCGCGCGCTGAAAGACATGGCCCTGAACGGATACTCGGAATACGCATTGGAGGAGTTCAAGATCGACCGGCTGGATCCCAAGATTCAAGATGAAAACGGGAACCTGAAGTACGGTATCATCGACTCAGTAGAGGGCAAGGGCAGTTCGCCTGCTGATTAGCAGCGATTTGTCGGATACGGTGCGAGGGGTCATTTATGCGTTCATATCTGTCAGACATATGCCAATAATGCAAACTAAGAACAATCATCTGAAGCGGGCAACATAAATCAATACGTTGTATGATTGGCATTAGCATCAGGCCAGTCTAAGCTCTGATAAGAAAGCACTAGCTTCATTACTCATTTCGGATGCTTACAGTGACTGCTGAGTCAAGGACGATAAAGTGGAGAGAGCATGACACAATCTCACAAGGGAAACATCCTTATTGACCGCTAAAAGCCCAACACGAACCGTGCCGACAACCATGGCACACACCAGCACCCATTCTCTCAGCATTATCAATCAAAAAGCGTGCATCGGTCAAGACTGCCACAACCAGATTTGCAGTTAGAATGAGTGAAAGAACAGTCGAAGAACACCGTCTTGATGACTGCACAACCCGCGGTCCCACGGATGAAGGCCCGACAGCCAGCGCCTCAGACCGTCAAGCTATGGAAATAGACGTGTCTTTACCACCTCGTGATACAGGCAAGCAGGCATGGCTATTTTTAAGTGCCTGCTGGGTCATCGAGGCTTGTACTTTTGGTATGTGAATTACCGCTGCAGCAACTAGTCCTGCACTCACCAACTAGAAAGGTTTCGCTTTGTCTTTTGGGGTGTTTCAAGAATTTTACAGCACTCATGAGCCTTTTCAGAACTCAGACAATATTGCTGTGATTGGGACCACAACTTCGGTAAGATTTGGCATCGAGAAAGACCAAACAAAAGCCAAGCGGGACGGACTGATTGACAGAAATCTAGGCGATCATGTACCTAGCAGCACCTTTTGTTGTCACATTCTGTCGTTTTTACCCACGGTGGACTCGATATTTGACATTCGTGGGTTTGACTGCTGCATCCCTCTCCATGGTTCTAAGTTCCTTCTGCACAAGCATTTCTCAGCTTATTGGTGCTCAAGGCGTCATGTTCGGGCTAAGTGGCTGTATCGCTTACTGCCCATGCACGCTGTACATTGACGAATGGTTCGATCGTCGTAAGGGTCTTGCCTACGGCATTGTGTGGAGTGCCGGGGGGGTTGGCGGTGTCATACTTACCCCCGTCCTTCAGAACCTGCTCAATCGTCTTGAGTTCCAACTGGCCATGCGTATTTGGGCTTGCGTCTTCTTCCTCGTCTCTGCTCCTTTTGCCTTCTTTGTTAAGCCCAGATTGCCGTTCTCAAGCTCTCACGAGAAATTGTCCAAAATGAGATTTGCTACCTCAAAGCGGTTCCTCCAACACCAGCTAGCCAACACCATCCAAGCACTAGGCTTTTTCCTTCCGGCTATTTACCTCCCAACATATGCCAGACGGATATATGGAAGCACGGAATTTCTTGCAGCCTTGACTGTAATGTTAGTCAACGTTTCATCATCAGTCGGCCTCGTCGCCATGGGCTTTCTGAGTGATAAACTCAGCGTCACTACTTGTATGGCTATAGCAGGCTTAGGCTCAAGTGTTTCTGTTCTTTTTATCTGGGGGCTTTCGGGGTCCTTGCCTGTTTTATTTGTATTCTGTGTATTCTTTGGCCTATTTGGCGGTTCCTGGACATCGACATGGCCAGGCATTATGAGAGAGGTCTCGCAAAGAGACGAGACCGCAGGATACGGTTCGAGTGATCCCATTATGGTGCATGGACATCTCTGTATCGGAAGGGGTATCGGAAACATAATTTCCGGGTTCCTAAGTGATGCTTTGACTAAGGGCTTACCAGGAAGCGGCAAATATTTTGGAGGCTATGGGAGTGGTTATGGCTTTTTAATCTTGTTTACTGGTCTGACAGGCCTTTTTTGTGGTGCGAACTTCGTTTGGGAAAGCCTCGTGAAACGCGTACGTCAGCTGTGTATAGTAGCTAGTAGATATCTAAAGGCCTAAGGGAGTCCTCATGCTTTTGGTACATAGAATACAGTACCCTACCCATGACAATGCCAATGTCCTAAAAAAACATATGAGTTCCGCCTCATGAATGCTGTGCATTCCCTTAGGGTTACATTGAGCCGGAACAAATTTCCCGTCAGCGTTGAAATTTGCATTAGGCCGGTTGATATCAGTACAGGCGATTCCTATGGGGATTGAGCGCTAATTTTTGGGCAGCAAATATTGCAGCCCGGTACGCTTCACCCATGGAGCGAGGCGATCTCGCCAAAACTTTCACCTCTGCGACTGGAGGGAACGTCTCTCGTCCTGTTTGTCCCCCTATTTAGTGATTAATGACCTCGCCTTCTAGAGTACTCATGACACTATAATTCACAGTGGCTTAGCATTAGGGGGATGCTTCGTCGAGCGTTACAATTCAATCCATAATCAGACCCTAAGTCTCGGAAATTTCTTGCTCACTCTGTTGATTGTGCGAGACTAGTTAGTAAGGGATGATGTATTATTAAGCAGCTGCATTTGGTGCCAATCGGCGTACACTCGTTTCTGATTCAGTGCAATGCCCGCCTCGAAGTGCGCATACATTGCTTTAATCTACCAAAACCTTTTGCTCATGGCCAAAGTTGAGTGTAGCTAACAATAGGTCCTTCTCCCTTTGTAGATACTCCTTGAAGGACGTCAATCTCAGTCCGTATTTTGCTCGTAATGCTTCGCAATCCAACGAGAGAGAAAAACGGTTCGCGTACAATTGAAACTTTTGGGACCTAACCCGGTGTTGCGCTTCTGTGATTTCTTCAGGAGACCTTTTTCTGACCTTGATGTCGAGACCACTAACTTCGCTTAGTGCATTTGCCGCGTCTTCAGGGCTCAGGTTTTCGCTGCCGAGCTCAATCGTTTCAAATCCGTATGTACTTGGATCGAGAAGGGCCGCAGCGGCGAACTTCCCAATGTCGTCAACATCGATGTGCGCCACGCGAACACCGTCATCCAGCGCGTGTACCAACTCGCCTCTCTCCCGCAAACCCGGCTGGTAGTCGTGAACAGCAGGGATGAGATAGTTGGCATAGAACCAACTAGGGCGAAGGATCGTCCACGATTGAATGAGGGGATGCTTGATGGCGGCCTCGGCAGCGGCCTTGGGCGCGTAGTAGTCAGGCAGTCCCAACTTCCGCTGGTCCTCCCCATTCCATTTCTCTCGATCCCCTGTGGCAATAGCTGACGATAATACGACGTTCTCTATACCCGCTGCGACGCTGGCCTGCACAATGGTGCGGATCTGGCGCACTTCTGCGTCGTGATCAGAATCCTGGTGTTGTGGTACGAGAAATACGCCGCGACATCCCTCGGCGGCTTTCGTGATTACGCCAGCATTGTCATTATCGCCCTTGAATAGAACGACCCCCTGTTCCCGGAGACTCTGGGCAACTGACGACTCGGGATTTCGAACGACGGCATGGACCTGGGCCCCTGCCTTCAGAAGGTGCTTGACTGTCGCGCCGCCTTGCCTTCCTGTGGCACACGTCACAAGATAAGTAGTCATATTTAAATTCGAAGCTATAAACCGTGTGGATTATTCTGTGAAAATTTGCATTACCGGAATCTGTGATCACTTTTCATAGTGCCGGCTTTTTATTATACAGGATATTTATGATGCATAACATGTGGTAGCTCAAGTTGAACAGAGGATGTGTGAGACAGATAGTGAACCATTTGTCAGACGTCCGTTGTAAGCTTGATTGTAGGTCGTGACTAGGATAATAGTCATTAAAACGGGGGTGCCTTCTCAGACTAATATATTTATCAATCATGGAGCAATCTCTGACTAAGTGTGGCTTTGAGATGCGTCATGGAAAAGAATATTACGCCGTCTGCTACAGCATACGGTGATTCAAAGCCTATCACAGTAGAGAATAGACACTACAATCGCACAGATGCACATTAGCCTACACAGGAATGACCAGCCTTCGAGACAATTACTAAGTATGACTCAAGTAGCCAGCCTGTATTATTAACACATTATGTAAAGTATTAGTTATTCGAGGAGCATATGTTTTTGTGGGTAATGGATCCAATGTACTAACTCAAGTTGTGCTTGATTAATGCTACAAAGCCTAAAAAAGTGCACGAGGCCTCCCGCGGATTAGCAAGGACCCCTTACACTCAATTGCGCTTCGTGAAAACTACCCAGGTACACAGCAAAGACAGGCAAGATAAATTCACAAGTCATAATTCAATTGCCCATGGAACATAAAGGCCACTCGAAGACGGGCAAGGAGCATACTTGGAATCTTTCATATTGGATAGTCACGCTGCGCCATAAACCAAAAAAAGAAAAAGAAAATATCTTTTTAGTCTCGAGATTTAATGTATACTATATGGCAGATATTTTTCGGCTTTTGGGCCGTGCCGGTGCAAGTTGTACAAATTTAGCGCTGCCAGGCTAGATAATGGCACTTTTGTGAGGCTGTGCTTGACATTAATGCAAGAAGTTTGGTTTAGGATAACAGTAGCTGGCCAAGAGCACCGTCAACGAAATCGCGGTCGCTAATCAACAATGCCACGAGTTAAGCTCACCCCGATCGGAATCAACAGCGCCAACAGGACTACCGCGCTAGAAGGAACGGAAAACCTCGTCCAGGAGCAGCAGAGGCTTCTCGACAAGCAAATGTGATGATTTTGGTCAAGGTCAGGTCTTTTGTCTAAGTAAGAGAGATGTGCCCACGGTAGGCCGTGTTTAGCGGTCTTGCGATTTGTTCCATATATGTAGGTATATATACGCGGACCGATCAGTGATCGGTCAAAGCTGGAAATGCTGCGATAGATCGTGACGAGAATAATATCGAGCAAATGTATTAGGGAACGCAATAATAAGATGAGATGATGCTTCGAACGATATCGGCAACGCCTAGTCCGCCAAGTCTAAGCAGTCCAAACTCCGGAATGAGATGTTCTTGCAACAAAGATCCTGAAAGTCTTTTAGGCAATTATTAGACAGTATGGGATAACACTCTTCCGGGGATCTGAGATGTTTGGCCACTATGAATACTGCACAAGAATCTTTTCGTTCCAGCTCAATGCATATAGTGATAAGGGGGCGCTGGAACTGCCCACTGATGTGGCTTGGGAGCCTAGCATGGAGTGGCTCAGTGGGCACAAGGGGAGATATAGCCGTTCTTTTCCGTTGACCTTTGGCACATACCAGAAGAATAGCCAATCTTTCAATCAATGCTGTTCCCATATACTTTGCTATAGTTTCACTTTGAAGCGAGCAGATTATTTGAAATTCATTTCCTCGAATGATTCGTTCTTTTAGTTATTTGATCAGAACCGTACAAGGGCTTCAGCCACCTGGCTGTGATTCTAGGTGGGGTGTGGTTTGGTTAATCCCCCCCCCCCCCCACCACCACCACCACCCCCACCCGGCCATCTCGATAGATCTAGTTTCCGATAGCAAGTCCACGTGCCAGGCAGGAGCTGATAATCCCCAGAGCTCAGAATTTCGAGATACTGTGAAATTCAAAAGGGCATGAGAATTGCGGTTACCCGAGTACCGCATATTTCGCACTCTGCCCGGAAATCTCGGAAGTCTAAGTAGATTCCGTAGTATCCGCCAGCCTGGGGAGTAAGTGCTATTTCCCGATACGAAAATACTATGTATGCTCGAGTTTGACGACTACCGAGCCGATTATTAATTTCAGGCTATATCGAGTCGTATGTCAGGTAACTGGCCATACGTTGGCCTTTGCACCTCTTTGAAACTCAGGGATTAGGACGCTTCTCGTATGAGCCAAAGGATAACTAACTAGTTGAAACTTTGGTGGCCGGGATGTTTTTGACGGTACTTGTCTAATAGCACGCAAGTGAGTATCTCCCAGTCCAAAGGGCATACCGTCAAACTTCAATAGCGCACATCTATACATAATGATCCTGGATGGACTTTTAATTCCTATGTACTGGCCCTCTAAATAAATCATTTAAACCTTCGCCACAGCATTGATGGCCCCTGATTTATCGGACGAGGTCCAGTCCAGGGGGAAGTAGACAAGTTAATGAGTATAAGGTTGAAGAGGTGGACTCCTAGTGATAAACCGTAAACCATCCCCTATCTGTTTTCCTGCATTTATATGCCTAGATTTTGCATTCGAATTGAGAAACCAGCCATACCTTTGCTCATAGCATATGCCACCGGCAGATTTGTGAAATCCATTACGATGTCTGACGAGACTAACGAGAAATTGATCGTACTCGACAGCGATCATGAACACGAAACAAATGTGAAGGACTATATGTTCTACGCAGCTACTACACGTCAGGAGGAGAGTGGTTCTATCGAACGTAAGATCATTCGAGCTCACTTTCGTGCTTAACAAATCTGGTCGGAAGACAAGCCACCATTTCGAACTCTTTCTTCTATTTCGATTAGTCTAATGACTGGCAACTGAGATCCAAGACCAGGTTATAATTTGGGCTAACGATTGAAAATCAGGAATTGTTTATCATCCTCATTATGATACGATTTCACCGGAGGAAAAGAGAAGCAGTCGGGCCATGAGAACTGCAACTTGGGGTATGGCTTTCTATATAGCTGTGACCTATATATTAGGTAAGTGCTGGACCATTTTGAAATGTTTAAGTTGTACCAACCATCTTCCGTGTAGGTCCAACTAGCGTACCGTAAGTCAAGTATATCTCTTCATGACAACAAGACTAATGACTCCGAGATGGGCGTTTACCCAGCTGGGCTACGGGCCTGGTATAATGGCCCTGAGCATATTCGGTGGACTGGCGTGCTAGTAAGTCAAATGATGACGCGCTCGGTGGCATTCACTAACATCCCAAACGTTCTGGTTGGGTTATTTACAAGGTTTTCCTCGGTCTGGACTCGGACAAGTATCCGGTTCGAGGCGCTGGTGATTTGGTCTCTCGATTACTCGGCCCGGTGGTCTGCCGGTTTTTCAACATAGGGCAGTCCGTACAGCTTATTTTGACCGTTTCGGTCCTCACCAGATCCACTGGTCAGAGTATCTTACAGATCAGTAGAGGACCCAGTGGGGACTCCGACGGGTGGTGCTTTATCGTATGTCTGCTCACTTACGTATTGTCTGGTTTGGTATTGGGCCAAATCAGAACTTTGCAGCGCCTCGGCTGGCTTGCGCATGCTTCTTTTTGGTTCACGATTACGTTGATGTTACTCTGGTGAGTATCTTTCCTACTATATTGGGAACTGATCAATAACTTTTCAGCATTGGCTCTGTTGGGTATGGACCGAATTTTGCCGCGTTCACATCCCTCGACTCCATTTCGAGGCCAATACGTTCCTTTAGGTAAGCCCAGAACAAATTTCAGATCAAGGATACGCCGTGAACTCTGTTCATATACACCATGGACGGCTCTATTCCAACCCCAATTCAAACTTTAGTTCTACTCTTCACACTCGATGCCGTCAAGTCTTCCATATGCGCCTTCATAATACGCCGAGCTAATGTGGTACAAATCTCTGCTAGCGGTATTCCTCCAGACTCGTATTCTGTTACCGGCACTGAGTCAGGAGGTATACTTAAGGGACTGAATACTATCGTTTATGCCTGTAAGATCCTTTTCCTACCACGATGTGTAAGCTAGATCCGGCAATCTAAACTGATGCAGATGGAGACTCGTTACTGTTCGCCAATCTATTGGGAGAGATGAAGTGAGTTACCTGACTTGATGAAAGCAACAAAGCTAACGCGTTCAGAAACCCCTCAGACTTCTACAGAGTATTGCTTATGGCAGTGGCTTTAGTATATGCTGTTTATGTGTTCTTTGGAACCTTCATTTACTCATACTATGGCCAGTACACTTATAATCCAATTGTACAGGGTAAACCCACATCGATTCTCATGTCTCGCAGAAAGATGTTAACTCCATTAAGGTATAGCAGATTACGGCATTCAGAGAGCAGCAAACGCTGTGGCGGTCATGAGCTCTCTGATAATTGCAGTGCTATATGCAAACATCGGAGTCAAGATTATCTACGTCGAAGTTCTTCATAAACTGCTTGGATTCCCAGCGTTAAGAAGCCAGAGAGGCAGATGGTTCTGGGCTGGTTCTATTGCATTGTACTGGACTTTTGTATTCCTCATAGCAGCTTTCGCACCGAGTTTCTCTTGTAAGTTCATATTTCTGACCGCTTTCCCACGACCAGATTGCTTGACATCTTGAACCCTCGAGCCTGCACAGAAATGTCATTTCCAGTTCGAAATCGTTCATGCAGAGTGTTCTGACAGAAGAGAACTAGACATTATATCTTTTCTCGGCGCATGGATCATGCTATCATACGCCTTTCCTGCCCTCATGGCTCTTGCATACTGGATGCAAAAGGACATTATCACTGCAGATAATCAACACATATCCATTAGCGGCACCAGTACTAGCACCAACTACGGCTTTCAGGACTGGAAGAGAAGTTTCAGAAGAAGGCCATTTTTTTTCGCTGCGAATATTCTACTGTTTGGGAGCGCATTCACGTTATTCGGGTGTGGTATGTATAGCGCAATCGTGGATGCGCTACATCAGGAGAAAGATGGAAGTCGCAGAGGTCTTACGTGCAAAGGGCCTATGTAATGTATGGGTTCTATGTTCCAAATGTACCAAACAAGGCGTTCTTGGACAGAGGCCAGGGAGCAGGTAGCCTGCCAATGTGGACATATTCCCCCCAAATCCGTGTCAGCAACCTTACCTCCATAAGGTCCCTCACCACAGCGCCGCGAACGACGATCGAATAAATACAACGGGGCATTGGATAGCTAACCGTACCAGACAAAACTGGATCATGACTTGGCAGACACGGCCTCAGCTTGAGGACTATCCATGAATACCCTCAAGTCAATAGTGAGTCTCAATCCAGAGGCTGGCGAGAGATATCTGCGATGGAGCCAAGGAACGTCGGGAAGGGAGTTTCTTACGTATATATTTGAGTGGTTACCTGAGTGATCAATCTAAGTACATGTCTTACCAGCAAGTGAAGCATTTAATAAGTACTCTTTAGCGACCACACTTGTGTATTAACTGACTATCATTCCAGTCACCCGTACGCTCAGCGCCGAATTCTTTATGCGGCATCTAGGCTTCACACCTGGTAACAATGAGCTAAAACGCCTTTTTGATTCGCTCAGTGCACCCAGCCGGCAGATTACAGTTTCGCAACACCTCCTATACAGGTATCGTAGTTCAATGGAATACGCTGAGCTTGTCCGGAAACAGAAGTGAGCTTCACTATGCTTTTTGTGTTGTGGTACATTTAACGCGGGGAACATCGCTCCAAGGCCATGCCATACCACCTAGAGCTATAAATCGCGGAAATGCATATGTCTTTGCGTCTAAATATATTCAACAACGCCAACATGACCATTCTAACAATTACTACCGTTGGCCTACCGACCACTCAGTCTCGTATGGGTGAAGCTTTACTCTGCTATGAAGTGGCTCAATTAGACCGGAAGCTAAGGGCCAAATAAATATGTATTAATATAGCATCTCTGATTATGCACAAAGGAGGGGAAGAGGGGTGGTCGGATTTAATCACCACCTCATGGTACCGACACTCATTAGCACTAAAGCCGATGTGATTTTCCTCTGACTTTAACAACATCATGAAATTGTAGCTGTCGCGTAATTCTTGTTCCGAAGTGAATGCAGCAGCACCGGAACGGCAGGCTCGATACCTTGTGGAATGAAGAGAGACAGCAACAGATTGATTTCATTCGATCCGCACGGGAAGCCATGACTAGTTTGACCTGAGAGATGAGTTTTCAGGATGGTTTGCTTGAACATCTGACATAACGGGCGAGCCCCTCATGGATACAAGCGCTAGCCGAGGCTGGATGGAGTTTATGGTTCCGGCTAGGTCTAAGCTGGATCAGGCTCCTGTTTGCAACACTTTGGGATAGTATGATCTGCATCCTGAGTGATCCGTGCCTTCGGTCTCGGGCCATCCTGGACAGGCGTAGTGCCATTCGGCTGTCACAATGCCGCTTCCACGGATTGAAACTTGACATGGAATGTGCTATATTATTATCCACAACTATCGTTCAAGGTTCTTGGTTATCAAAGTTTTGTATCCCTCGACAGCATTCTCGAGATCCGAAACGGTTAGGTGTTCATGGTCGGTATGCGATACCAGGATACTCCCGGGACCATAAAGGTATTTCCGATGGACACCATGCAGGCTCGGTATATCCGTCACATAATTCACCACTACATTCTCGAAACCTATACTTATTAGTCTGATTCAAGACAAAAGGACTAGTTCCCTTCTTACCATCGATGTCGGTATCCAAAGTAACTGTGCCCCATCCATTCAAGAATTCAACATCCAATGTAGGAGCAACCCTTAAAATTTCATTGCGTAATATTTCTTGGATCTCCGACACCTTTCCACCTCCTATTCTCACCAGAATGGTGGCATTGGCGCTTGCTGGGATGACGTTCGCAGCCACGCCACCAGCGATGGTGCCCACATTAAGTGTTGTGTTGCCAAACATTTCGCTGCTTGGAAGCTCGACTTCCTGCAATGCGACAAGACAGGGAAGCAGCAGGTCGATTGCATTGATCCCCTGCTCTGGATATCCAGAATGACCAGCCTTTCCAGTTGCCGTAACCGTAAACTGGGTACTCCCCTTGTGACCGCTCGCTAGTTTGAGCTCTGTCGGCTCCCCGAAAATGACTGCTTCCCAAGAAAGTCCCAACTCGTTGGCCTTTAGTAAGCCACTTCCGCTGGTTTCCTCACTGACCACAAAGAGTAGACCAACGTCCCCTTCGGCAATCTGTTGGTTGGTCATCAGCGACTCGACAGCCGTGATCTGGGCGGCTACACTGCCCTTATCGTCAACTGATCCACGTCCCCAAATCTCATCATTTCGTCGCTCATAGGGGAAGTATGATGGGACCGTATCAATATGCGAAGTGACAAGGACTCGTGTAGAACGTGAACTGCCGAGATACGCGTAGACGTTCTGTAGGGCTCCTTGAACATTCTGGAGCTCCACAGTGAAACCCTTCTGTTGGAGGTAGCTCGCCAAGTACTCTGATATACTGTGCTCTGTGCCAGAGATGGATGATATCTCTACCAGCGACTTGTGTAACTCTAGGAGGGTGGGTGAGATTTTGGCTTGTGCTAACGGCACTCTCCATAGTTTCAGAGTCAGAACGATTACGGTAGCGCTAAATAAACCAATGTAGAGGATGGGCAGTGATATCCTTTTCATGTTGGTAGCGAGGAACATCCTGTTTCATAGTATTGTGGTCGAAAATAATACAAAAAGGCGATAAGAATCGCGAAAGTCCATGCTGATCAGAAGGCAAAACTCCCGAGTGGACATGGTGGGATTTAAATGAAGATATAGAGGTTGTGGTGAACACGTGAAATAGCAACGCGGGTCCAGGGGGGCGGTTCGGACAGGAAGCCGGCACATTCATGACTGAACCGTACGATCTCGCTAGGGAGAGTGGTATAAATCCAGGGTTGGCCTAGCAAAGGGGTTTTAGCACAGCAGCATTCTCCGAGTCAAAATTCTCGTTCATCATCACATGGTTAGCTACCTCAAGCGTAGATCTTTTCCAATTCATTAAGTCAAAAAAAAAAAGTAACATTTGAGGTGAACCCTCATAACGAATGCAAATTCACACATGGATATAAAGGGTTGAACCCATGTCTTACGGTGATCAAACCTACCTAGCTCACGCAAAAATGGATACGCAAATGCTAGACAGCGTTTTTTTTCCCCACCGGCATTAGGTCTGTATCATATCCGTCTATGGTAGATTGTCAAACTAAGTGGAAGATTTATGCGAATTCATCGACATATGTCTTTTCAACCTCTCAAAGATTCAAGCTCTTCCACAACGGTGCAATAGCAAACAAAGGGCTCACGCCCGCCGACGAGTCTGATCGTAAGTAAATCAGGATCATGGACAGGCTTCTCATACCACTTACCGAAGCATCCGATGAGACGCACTGTCGCCAATCTTCGATGCAGGGCACGGAAACCGTGCGCGGCTATCGTCGTCGTCCACTGCTGGAATAGTTTTCCCGCCATCCGCCATCCACCATTCCACTGACTTTAGTGGTCAGCGTCAACCCACGTCAGGGTCAATGAAGCATTATGAACACGCAGAGAGCATCCTTGTAGCGGTGCTCTGAGCCTCCTGGAGGGCGTTAGGCGTGCTAGGTTGGGTGTACTGAGTAACATATTCGCGTCCTTATACGCATCTCCTAGGCCTTTCTACCTGCTCTCCCGTTTCCTTCTACGTTGGGAACGTGCCAGATAAAGTGCGTGGGCTGAGCCCTTTTCTTATAATATATCTCCGGCCATTGGCCACTTTCATAGAGATGTGCATCCGTATGCGCGGGTGGCGCTTAGTAGTTTGTGGACAAAACAAAAAGAAGAAGTAGAAAAGCCAACACCAAGAATATTGGGAACTCTCTCCCCCGCAGGTTTGTTCCCATCGAAGGGCAAGTACGGCTTGCCGCCGCCCGTCAGCCCGCCCTCGTCCTCCTCCATTTTGACCCCCACGTTGCTCTCACTCTTCACCTCACCTTCGCTCTCCGCTTCCTCCCCGATATCCCTCTCCGCTAGTGTCCTCGGCATGCGTCTTAACTCTGCTTGCATGCTTGGGTTGACTCCCGCCCCCAAAAGCAGCCTATCCACCGCCACCATCCTGGCCACGCTCCTCCTGTTTCTGGCGCCCCGCGTCTCGAGGCTCACTGTCCCATGTCCAGGGTCCGTGCCGATCCTGACCATATTCCCTGCCGGCTGGATGCTATCCGAAATGTACACCTCCTCCAGCATAATATACGTTAGATCGGTACATGCCCCATATTTCTTTGCTCTGGTGTGCCTGGTATCTTCCCTTGTTTTTTTATGGTACAATACGGCTTATAGAAATTTCTAGCAACTGGTGTGGGCACCAGGCGAAGAACCTCTATAACAGCCAGTATTGAGCAGCACAAAATATATGGGAGAGTACGTGGTAAATCACTGGATTCAAATATGGGGCTTGGTACCGATCTAACGTTTATAATGCTGGAGGAGGTGTAGGAGTCCTGCAGGCTGACCCGGACAAGCGTAACGCAGCAGTGTCCTAAGAGGAGGTTTGATGTTTATCAATCCACGTCACTTCAGTTTCTATATTATTCCAAATTATTTCGCAAGGTTGATTTACGGGTATATAAGGTGGTTCGTTTACCGTAGCTGGCGTGCGTTTCTAAGCTTGAATGCATCGCTCTTAAAAGCTTATTACTGCCGGTGTCTTCAACTCGGAACGTTTCCTTATACATATTTGTTCATTAAGGTGTTCATCAAGGTGATGCCTTTTTATCAAACCTTGAATTGGTCTGACATGGGTTTTTATTTATTAATGAAAATGTATCGATCAAGATGACCCGCTTTTTAGATTCAACGAGGTACAAACATTCTTGTATCAGTGACCCTGGTAAATCCATAAAAATCCCGTAATACGCCACAGCATGAACCGGTGTGCCAATTATAGCAAAACTTAGTGTATAGGATCCATCGTCTACCATTTGATCCTGCATGCTGACATTCGGCATCTAAAATACGAGGTTCATTTTGCAAAAAGCCTATCAAGTATGATTATTTCCCCTAAACTCTCCGTAAATATAAGACACCGAGTAAGGCAAGGGTATCGTTTTCAGGGTCACTTTGCCAGTTGGACAGCGGACAAACTCATTTTCAGATATAGAAGTTGTTGGATGGTAGCATTTCGGGGAAGATTAGCCGAGCCTGGCCCCATTGGTAGAATTAACCAATTCATCACTCTTTTGCCCGTCATCGACCATATGTTTTGATTACCAAGCAACGCATCTTTTCCAAGTGCAGGCGAGCAGGGCCTGGAGGTCCTATAAAGTATAAAAGGCAGGTGAGCGATTCAAGCACTAGACGCATTATTATCCTGGTATGTAAATTAATAGTGGCGGAGTCTTTGGTAGGGGCGGAGAGTTGACCGGCAGACTATTGATTCCTAATACTTCGCAGCAAATAGGGACAGCCTGAGGTGGGCTCAGGCGGTAATGCACGAGCGGAGGCACGTTGCAAGTCTATCTTGCCCCTTATCCCTGTCGAGAAGGTGCATTTGCCGAGGCGGCTCGACCCGTCATCTCCACTTGCTAATCTACATATGTATACGTGTACCATATACAGTAGTACATCGATTTTCCCGCCTCTTCACTAAGGTTAGGTAGTTGTCCCACTTTATCGACCCTTGTCAGGCTCTCACCAGATGAATAGTACCAACCTGACGAAAACCTAGTCCGATCACATCCACAAGGGCATGATCACTACAGAGAACGGATACCTTGCAGATCGATAGTTCCTGAGCTGGTACTTTTTATCAAGGGTGATGAAGCAGGAGCCGTCGCATTTGATACTCCTTTCCAACAGCGACTTGGTTTGGTGGCCACCGGCAATCATGGCATGCTTGATTCATTTTACGCAAAAAACTGCAAAAGAGCGGCCCGGAAATTACAAGTATCCAAGATGGAACTGCAACTTTGCAATATGGCTCAAAGGTACATAGTGTATAATATAATTAGATGAAACCAACAATTTCTACTCGAGCTTGATTGCGAACGAATTATACTATTTATACGCATATTGCACACTGTAAATCATGGAGGCGGATAGACGGGGTTGGCCCGGTTTTATATGTTGTCGAGTGTTCGATTCAAAATACGTTATTCAGGTCAAATCCTTGGAATGCTGATGATCATGGATTGCAAATTATCCCACTCAGATTAATCTGTGTTCGTTTTCAACTTCGGCCAACCGTTTTGAGATGATTCAATTCTACCTATGCTCTAAGTTTCCTCAGCTGTCGGCAGCCGACGCCGTGGCGAGTACAACCGAAACTGATAGAAAATCACGAAGTCTTCCAGAATTGTCCCTAGTGAGCCCACTAACCAAGGGATCATGTTGCTGACATAATGAGACTCCTGCGAGTAAAGAGAGATACTCAGCCCGTAAGTGAGATTTCCTGTAACCGAGAAGATAAACAACAAGATAGCAAGCCCTTCACACGACTTCTGTCTGTGGTTTTTGAGTATTTGAGGAATTCTCGCACTAATTTAGTCAGTCCCTTATCGTTTTAGGGGTAGTTAGAGGCTCTAACCAAAGATATAACACGGCACTCAAATAGCCCAAGGCTATACCGACGTTAGACAGTGGTGTGTCCTCGGTAGGCATATTTGGTTCCTCCACTGTGTTCCATAAGCCTGCTTTATCAGACACATACCACACCAAGACGCCAATCAAATACACCGCGACAACGGCCACTACATTCTGAAGCCAGTAGTTCTTACCAGAGGTATGTTGTTCGTGGGGAGCTGTTGGTAGTGAAGAATGTAGACCTGATTCTTCTTGTGTCGCGGAGCCGGGTCGTTGGTGATATGCACCGCCGCCAGGTTGTGTTCTCCTTGGATTAATCAGAGGAGAAGTCTCTGAATGATGATCACCGGAGCCTTCCATCCTGTGGGCCCTCTCTGCGTTCACCGCATTATAATACACGTATTGTGCGATCAAAACGGCATCAGATAAGCAAAAGTAGGCGGCAAGCTGGATTGCACTTGGTGCAATTCCTGTGACGAGAGCACCTAAATAAGCGCAAGACATGTCAGTCATGAACGAGTATTGGAATTCGAACGTAAGTGCACATGACCTCAATCACACGACATCTGGGGGCACGATCTAGAGACTTCAACATAATTAAAAATGATGCTGACCACACACCTGAAAGGTTGGCAATGTCACCCAGGATCCAAATGATCAGAAAACCGACTGAAAGACCATCGGTCCTCTTTGTCCGATAGTTCTCGAGGAGCTGGGGAACCTGTTTCATGTCAATAGACTGTATGGATTTGGAGAAAGCGCAGTTCATCAATTGGATAGGTACCAGAACAAATATCCAGGCGACTAGACTGACACAGCCAAGCACGTTGGAAAATACCTTAACAGGCGGTACGTCTTTCGATGGGTCCATTTGGATATTACAATAGAGTTCTTTGAGGTTTGTTTGGTTATTGCGCCGAAGCAAAGAGAATATATATTGAGATTCCAGCGTGTGATTGGTGTGGGACTACCTTAGGAACTGCCCAATCTAGATAGATAGATGGCCGTGGCCGTAGGTGTAGCTAAAGGTCAGCCAGTTGTCCTCTTGTCCCGTTATCGTCTCTTTCTATGGATGAGTAAAACAGTCATTTGCCCCACTCATCAGTCACATTAGGTTTCTTGAGTCAGACAATAGGCGAGTCATAATCCCTGGAGGATCACAAGCTTGGGCATGCAATTTAGCAGATGGACGTCAAGGTTCGTTGACGAAGAACAGGGCATTGCTTCCTGGACTACATGCACATGTATACTCTGCCGGCGGCAAACAACATCCATGACTGTGTTCATTGAGGCCCAACCGAGAGTTCTTGCTTCCACGAACCAAAGAAACTCTATGTACCTTGTCAGTCGGATAGCAAGGAACTAAGTCGTCTCGACAATATATCCTGGGAGATTGTGCAAGAGATCTTCACTCCTGAGCTGCTAGAAACGAGCGGGACTGTTGGGCATCCGATGGATTTTGCAGTAAACCATCCCCTACGTTTGAAATTCAACTCCATTGTAACTCAATGGATCAATGTTCCGATTGATGTTCCGATTTCCCGCCTATGAGGATTTCGGGGTGTCCCACGTTCAAGATCTGCCATACAGCGGATGGGCGATAATCCATTCCATCATGCAGTTCTCTTCTGCATGGATCTCTCTTTGACCCGTCATACCGCTGTTTATTTCTTTGGGCAAACCAGTTCGTCGCAAGGCGTTCGCTGTGGTGATCTATGAAAACGTAGCCATGTGTATATTTCTGCCATGATTTCTTATGTGTACCAAAACGCAAATTCGGTCAGAAACGGGGAGTTTTACAAAGCCAAATAACGATTGAAAGTATCTTCAATCCTGCAATATGATATCTCCGATTGGGTCTTCCCGGCATGAATCGGAGTTACGGTAAAAGCCACGTATGAAGGTACATCGGGCGCCGAGGTTGGATGTCGTTTCTTGTACAAGGGCTTTGCGCCGCTTCCTCTAGGGTTGCGGTAAATGATCCACGAAAGAATGCACATTATTATATACAACTACACTCCAAGACCACTTCATCATTAGTATCGTTTACGTTCATTCATTGTGTCTCCATGTGACGGACGAGTTCCCCCTCCAGTCGACTCTCCCAGCCTTTACCAGCCCCTGGTAAACCTTATGCACGATCCCGCACCGGGATCCTACACATTCCCGCTATTAGATGCAACTCGAATGTGACACTGGGCGACTCTGAGATTTTACTGAACACCACGTTGAGGTCTTACAAAATGTGGGGGTGCCAGTTAATCAACTAACCTGGCCTAAGTAGCTAACCTAGCTTGGCCCGCGCGGGTTGTAGATATGCTTTCAGATGCCGAAAAATGCTAGCCAATTGTATACTTACAGAAAATGGCCTTTAAGAGGGCTCTTGATTGATTCACGATAGTGGTGCTTGACCCACGGAGAAGATGAATGCTAAGATTGATCACAAAGGTGATAGCTACCTAGATAGACGGGTGCAGTCCGTTCTGAATATATATGTCATTGCCGTCGATGATCATATTGATCACCCAGCCAGCCAGTGGTCAATTATCGCGGTGGTTGACGGTGACAAGATCGTGACCCTGTGAACATCTATCGGCAGTGGCGGGCGGCTTGGTGAAGACACCCATACTGCGGGGTCGCAGGTATCCGCATTGGCGTTAACTGCGTCTCTAGTATCCTTTCTGTTTATTCTTGAATGTTAATGTTATAAGCAGCTGCAACTACTTTGTATCTTCAATTCTGGGCTCGATCCTTAGATTGTATTTCTCATCGCCTTCCACAGCAATATACACGCGTCAGGTAATACTCACAATTAATTATCCCATACCGCTCACATATATCCTTGATCTTATAACTAAGCACCCAGAAGAACGAATATCGCAAATCAGGCGATGAAAAATGGATCATGAAGACTTGACCAGCATCACAGATCCCAAAGAAAAGAAGAGAATGCAGAATCGGAAAGCTCAACGCACTCATCGTACGTTTTCTCATAAGATTACAGGCTGACTCATGGTTTCTTTCTAATCGCAGTGGTAATAGGGGAGAAGCTCAAATCGCGAATCCGTGAACTTGAACATGCGGTCGAAATAAGCCAGAACAAATCGCCCTCAAGGCAAAATATGTCTCAACCAATATCTCCATATGGTGGATTGATAGGACTCAACTCGCCGCCGACGAGCCTATCTACAACCAATACCTCAACGGAAGCAGCGATGGCTTGGAACAGCAAAGAGATGTTCGCATCTGAGTATCTTCGTTCTGCTGAATATTGCAATATTCCAGGCGTTGCCGAGGAGCCAGTTTCGTCTACTTTCAGTACATCCTCCAGAGCCCAACCGCTCATAGCCGACTTTGAACCGTTTGTCGAGAGAGCTCCCCCACATCCAACAACAGAACCAAGAACTAGATCCGTTACGGAGGAGCGTGGCTGGCCATGGTCTGATCTGGACGGTCAGAACAACAGGCCAGCTACAGTCCAAAACATTGGGATATCGAATTCCTTATCTAAGGAGGTAAACGGCAACTTTGACATACATCAGAAGAATACGAGCTCGATAATTCAGTCAGATATTGATGGCCACTGCCAGCTTATCGAGTCTAGTGAGAGATTGGGATCTTCATCCGATAGCGAGCGAGTAGCAACTACAGAGGTCGATCCGGGGTCCGAAAAAAGCAACTCTGGTAGCTGTACACGACCAAGTCCCGACTCATCATTATCTGATCGACTAAGCCATCTCATGGAATGTAGCAAACAACTTGGCTTTGACGATCTTGATGACGCCTTGTTGTGCTACTATACCTCCGATGTCCGCGACTCTGCACTGCTATCTCATAAGCAGTCACTGAGCCGAGCAAGGAAGCTATCGCATTTTCTTTCGGATATAAGGGAGCATTCCAAAGCGTGGAGCAATTGGGAGCGGGCCGATTTCATGAGGGAGATCGTGAAGAGTGCGGAGGAAATATATGTGGAGGAGTGTATGGTGGCGAGGAAACATCAAGTCGATATCAATATTGGCGACTTCACAAAAGACTCTGCAAGCGTGGAGCACGTGTCGCAGAAACTCAAGCGTGAGGTTCGTATCTCGTTATTTGCCCTCCTTGTTCATGCATGCACCTCCTTTATTCGACTCTTGTTTTTTTTTTCTCTTTCTTTCAAAACACTTTCCACTGATTACAACTCCCCCTTACTTCTGCTGATATTGGAATACTTAGGCTCCAAATACTTGGGCTTTGGTCGCAAGCATAATGCTACCTTCCACATCTCCGGGTCAAGTTCACTTGCCACAAACCTTACTCGTTCTTATGCTACTTTGCTGCCCCAGCAGGGACCTGGGAAAGGTGTTCCGACTGTCTCGAGCGCACATTCTACAGCAGAATAAAGAAGGCCGATAATGGAGCCAACGGCTGTAGAACAGCTTAGATCGATTGCCACGAGCAGGCGCGAGCAGAAGCATATACCCGCCGAGCTGGTCACTGACCCAGCTCAAGATTTTGCATGGCACAAAGTTCTTTTATGTTGTATAGTACAATGTTCTTTATGAAAAAGCTGGAATATATGATAGAGCTCGAGTAGAAATATTAAGCATTACTGATTCCGTGGGACTACCGAATAGTCTGCTATGGGTTCGATGAAACACACTATGTAACCAGTTCGCACTCAGTACAATCCGATGAAACTGTCAAAACTAACGGCATACTATACCTATCGTAGGTGAAGGACTAATACAGAGAATTCGTGGGGTTTTTATATCCCTTTGCACATAGAAGGTTGATCTGAAATCAAATGTATTGCAGCGCCTCGGAGATCTAGGTATAGGGACAGATATGGATCTGAATCTGCTGATGAAGATTGCAAAGGCAATCTGATAGGACTTTTTAATAGTGATCTCATGGATAATGCCTGTAATTAGTCTGGTATCAGAATACGAGATCATTGGTGCAGATTGGTACAGAGGTAGTTCGGAACGGTTCGACCAGTCGACGGATTCTGAAGTTACCATCTGCAATTGCCGTCTACATGATGAAAAGAAAGGAGGGAAGCCGAATACTTATGGTTATTAATTTGTGTCCAATGTTTCGACACACGAATAGTCGGGAGCAGATGATCGAATGTCGGAACCCTTCGCATTTGATGAAAAGTATCTGCAGGCAACACAAACTCGGAATCGTTTACTCAGACAACAAATACAATACTTCGCTTTTTGTGGGCATTGCCATGCGAGAGATGTTCTGAATCAAGTATTTTCAATAAGCAGAGATGTTGAAATCATGTAGAACAGCACCCAAAGTTCCCGCCCATTTCGGTATCACTTGGTGGAGAGCTCTAAATCAAGTAGACCACGATAATTCATAAGAACTTCCCGGAACATATTGCATAGAATGCCTATCATAGTCTTGACATTGCGTACTAAGACATGATCTATTGATATCCATCGACAGGTTTCCTAGTGACGGCCCTTGGTATTGCACGGGAAAGCCCATGAAGTGAGCAAAGTTTTGTAGTCTCAAAATGGAATAACTAAAGAGGATAGCGGACGTCCTACAATTGGAACAGTTGACTTTGTAACAAATTTTCTAAGCACAATGGAATTCCTTTCATTCGTCCAAAACCCTGAAGCTATCCGTAATACCTGCCACAAACCTGGTGTTGAACCAGGTATATCAACCCAGCATCGGTTAGTTGAAAACACGGCCGTGACCACAATTCCAACATAATTCTGACTTGCCCACAAGATCTAAGTTCAGAACTCTAATGGATTCTAAAGATCAGGCTCTACACTATTTTACACACGCTTGTAGGCCTTGGCATCGTCCTGAGACTCCTGAATAGCGTTGCGCTTATAGGCCTTCGC